ATCTTCCAGACCAAAAAAAAAAAAAAAAAAAAATCAATAAAGAAATAGTAGTCCTAAATGACTCACTAAATCAGGTGGAACTATTATAATTGACATCTTCAGAGTATTTCACCCCAAGATACAGAATATCCATTCTCTCCTTTGGCCAAGGTCTTGAAACACTGCTCACCTCTCTCCCCCTACACCTCTTCCTCACTTCCAGTCAGTGGGGTTATAGTGGTAGTGGTAGTACTGTGTTCTGCTTTCCAATGCCCAGTTACTAAGGCCTTGCTCTAGATGGGTTGCCTGGATCCCTAAAGTACTGTCCTGAGTCCCACAGCCACGCCCTGTGAGTAGGATTAGATGGGTCCTGTGCCTGCCTGAATCATGCATGAGCTCAGCATGCCCCCTGCAGTTTGAATTGTTCTGTCCACTCTGAGCTAATCACCTGCATTTTGTTTTTCTCCTAAAGCATTTGGAATTATGTTTGAAATCTAGGTAAGATTTATCTCTGTGACAGTTTAGATAGGCTAAAAAGAACCATTTATCATGTTTCACTTTTTTAATTGGGTGCAGGATCTGATTTTAAGAAGATTTTCCTGAATTATATTAACTATGCATTGCTTAGGCTTTGTAATTCAGTGAATTTCCTGTCCTCATTATTTACTTCTCACCTATATTGTCATCTTTGATGGTTTCTGTGACAATTTAATGTGAACCTCCTTGAACACTGTTTTGTTGCTTTGCCTTCTCTTTGTTTTATGAGTCCCTCTGACAAACATGCTTGAAAAGTACATTCTTTGGAAAGATTTTAGCCTTTCTTCAAAAGTCTGAAATCATGGAGAATTATTAGGGGGTAGGTAGAAATCTTTCAGGCCATATGCCAGGTAGTTTTTATTTTTTATTTTTATTTATTTACTAGAGGCCCAGTGCACAAAATTCTTGCATGAGTAGGGTCCCTAGGCCTGGCCAGTGATCAGGGCCAATCTGTGGGGCAACCAGTGGGATGATTGAGGACACCCACTTGCACCCACCTTGGCTGGGGACGCCCACTTGCACCCACCTGCCTGCTTACCAATACCTTCCCCCCCCCCCCCCCCTCCACCACCACTGCCAGTCAGGTGTGGTGCAGCTCCTGTATTGAGCATCTGCCCCCTGGTGGTTAATGCATGTCATCCTGACCAGTGGTTCCCAGGTTGTTTTTCAGTTCCGTTGATTTGCATGTTAGGCTTTTATATAGATAGATTTTTAATTTAAGTTCTTTATTTAGTGTATTATGTAAGTCTCCTTTCCCCCCCATTGTCCTCTCCCCAGCCACCCCCAACCCCCAGCACAAGTCCTTCCCTCCCTCATCCCCGCCCCCTCCCATATGTCAGGTAGTTTTTTAAAGTATATTTTTAAAAACACAGTACTGATATTCTCTCTCTCTCTCGTTCTTTTGCTGCTGTAGATATCACCAATTATCATTGAGTGAATGGAAAGAATTAGATCTCTAGGATCACTCCAGAGGACGTTTGATAGACTGCCCAACATGTAAGATGCAGTGATATTTGTAGAGGTGGAGTTTTGATTAAGGTCATTTTGTTTCTTTTCTTCCACTTGGTTTCACCTCCTTGTTTTATGATTATAGCCAGACATCATGAAAGTAGAGTTAGCACTTCCCTGGCAGACACCACATGTAAAAGCCTCCCAAACCCTGGACTCTTAAAATAGATGCTTCTCATAAAATAGTGCCTACTTGCATTGTTAATTTCCTGCTTGCTTGTTTATGGGTCAACTGGCTATAAACTCCTTGAGAATGGAAACCATACCTGGCTTCTTTACCCATTGTGTTCTTGGCATCTAACTCAGCACTTGCAGTACTATGTGGATACTTCAAATTCTGGCTGAATGGATAAATAATTGCCTCAAGTACATAGACAATAAGCTTAATGCAAAGCTAGGAGTGTTTTGGACAGGTGTCATAAGAAGACAAGTTTATTGGAAAGTTGAAGGGACTTGAAATGACATACTAAGATATGTAGGGACTCTATAGAGGAGGCAATTATGAACAGGGTAAAAAGAGGCAATCAAATGATGAGAGGTTATCACAAAATTTAAAAAACAGTTTACTGGGGTAGTAAGTGAACAACTCAGAGGAGGTTGTGGCCAGAGTAAGATTCTGGCCAGCCACACCTGGGGCGGTGCCGGGGCTCGAAGGGCATCTGAAGAATGAGAGAGGTCCCTCCAGCAGGTGGGGTCCCTCAGCCTAACCTGAGGGGATTGGGCCAAAACCAGCAGTCCAACATCCCCTAAGGGGTCCTTGAGTGTGAGAGGGCACTCTGCAAAGTTGCTGTTGCTCAGCAGCTTCTGCATCGAGCGTCTGCCCCCTGCTGGTCAGATATATATATATATATATATATATATATATATATATATATATATATATATATATATAGCTAGTCATAGAAAATAGCCTGAAGGACATGTAATCCACTCACTACAAGTTTTATCTTTGGAGCAAATTTAAGAGCTATTTGCTAGAATTGCATTGTTTGACTCCCTGTATAACTGTCTTTTCTGAACAGTCCTGGGGTGTAACCCTGCAGTGAAGTGTGATTACAGTGAAGGACTTTGTGATCGGTGTGCTATATTCAACTTGTGAGTATTGTCTGGATGTTGCTCAGGCTATAGTCTTTAACATCACAGTTCTTTAATTTATTGAGGATCTATAGATGAAACCTCACATGGGTCTCAACTAGAAAAAGCCATTCTTCACCTGAGCCTCTAGTTTGTTTTCATTGTAATTAATCTTGTTACTCTTTTTGTATTCTTATGCCAGCTGGGAATCTCAAAATGAAATGTGACAAAGCTGTAACAGTTGTATAGAACATTATATTAGGCATTGGATGTGCTGAACCTTCCTTTAATTTTCATTATATATTTACTTCACTCCACTTCCATTTTTCATAATTTTTTATGTTTATAGTATGTATCTGTAAGGTACCTCAAATCCTGTTTGGAAGCAAGAAGATACTATCTAATAAAAAGGAAATATGCTAATTGACCATCACATCCTCACAAAAGATGGCAGCACCCAGAGCTAATAAGAGGGAATATGCTAATTGTCTGCCACACCATCAAATATGGCAGTGCCCACAGCCACAAGATGGTGACACCCAGTCCCCTCAGCCCCACTGGGGCAGCAGGCGAGTGGCACAGCTGGGCCTGCCTCCTAGGCAGGTCCAGCTACTCTGCATGCCTGCCTACAGAGTCCCCCAGTCCCCTCAGCCCCCCAGCTGCCCAGGGCTGGCTCGAGGTGCAGACAAGCCTTGGATGGCAGCTGTCCAGCCTCCCAGGGCTGGCCTGAGGCACAGGTAACCAGGGCCAGCCAAGGCTTGCGCTGCCGGCAGTGGCAGCAGCAGAGGTGTGATGGGGCATCGCCTTGCCCTGATTGCTGGGTTGCCTCCAACCCCTGAGGGCTCCTGGACTGTGAGATGGGGCAGGCTGGGCTGAGGGACACCCCTCATTCCAGTGCATGAATTTTTATGCGCTGGGTCTCTAGTCTATAAATAAAGAAATAAAATTGGGTATATGCAGAAATAAGCTCCTATTTTGTTTTCAATCAGAGAGTCACCCACAGCTTAAACTCATTATGCTAATTAAATGGAGAAATTTTTAGAAGTATATGTTTTTATTCAGTTTTAGCGAGAGAGACAGAAACATCAATTGACTGCCTCCTGCATTTCCCCTACTGGGGATTGAGCCTGAAATCCAGGAACATGCCCTGACCTGTTGGTGCCTGGGTCGAAGCTCAGCCACTGAAAGCTACACTGGGCAGGTTGAAATAGAGAATTTGAAAAGTCTTTCATCTGAATACTTTTTGTTGGAGACACTAGTGTCTGTGATTAGTTCTTGATGGTGACTATTATACTGCTAAGTCTGCTTGGCTCCATTTTTCCTTTTCTTCTCTTTCCTCCTCCATCTATCATGCTTCTAGACACTCTCACCTTTATCCAGTCCTTCATGTGGCCATCAAAGTCCCCCTTTTCAAGCATAGTTCTGATTATAAAAATAAAATAGTCAAATGTTTTTTATTGCCTATAGGAAAAAGGCCAGGTTTTACTCATCTTTTTGTATTCAATACCTAGCATGGACCTGGACTATAACAGGCAGTTGATGAATGTTTGTTGAATGAACTGAATTGCATTACATAACATAATACATGTAAGGCATTAGGAGAGCCCTTGGCACGAAATATGTTTACTACTCAATCTCTTTCCCTTCACACTTGGTAGGAACCTACCTTTCCCACCTCATCTCCCACCACTGTGACTTTAATCATCAATGATTCATAATTTTATGCACATAACATACATTTCTATGACCATGGGATATAAATGTTGTTCTTTCTACATGTAGTCTCTTCCTTAAATGCATCATTCGTGCTCAAATTTAGAGAATACATATTCCTGATGATGTTGGTTCACATTTTCTCTATAACAAGCTATGATTTACATATTTAAACTAGAAGCCCAGTGCACGAAATTCATACACGGGTAGGGTTCCTAGGCCTGGCCAGTGGCAGGGCTGATCAGGACCTTCCCCCAGCTGCTGGCTGCTGGCCAGGGCCTTACTTCGTTCCACACCACCGCTTGGTAGTCAGCACATGTCATAGTGAGCAAACTCCCTGTCGGTTGAACTCCCGAGGGGACAATTTGCATATCAGCCTTTTATTATATAGGATAGTTTTATCTAGTGGGACATTTATAACATCTTTCATACGTAATTACTTGTTCTTTTTAACTGGCAAAGCTCCTTAAAATGAATTAAAACTTACTTTTATTTATCAAAGCAAGCATTCCTTTCTAGTATTAAAAAGTGATGATTAAACTTTTGGATGTGAATTGATAGTTTTTATACACACATACCCAGCTGTTTAGCCTTTTATTTCATTAACTCGTCCCCTGCAGGAAGTCTAAAATAAACTTTAGAAAATTTTATGATCCAAAGGATGGATGATTTATTTACCTCATGAAAACTCAACCCAAGGCTACTGACAGCTGCAATTCTCCCAGCCACTTCCACATAATTTTTAAAATGTGAATGCCAGGAATGGTGCTGTTGACATTAATTTCAGGACAAGGAAGAGAAGGACTAGGTGCCTCAGGAGGAGTCTGTGGGGGAATAAACAAAGATACTTGTGCAATGTTGGATATTTCTGATGTCAGGTTGACCTTATCAACAGCCCGAACAGCAATGAAGAGATCTGTGCCATTTTCAAAAGGGATGCTTTCTGGTTTAAACTCAAAGACTTCCTCAGAGTTGGCCTCCTTTGGAATGAGATTAGTAGTATTCACTTGAACCGATGCATTGAACTTGTCTCTGAGATCAAGAATACTTGTGCTTATTCCAATGATATACTTGTAAGCTAAAAAAAAAAAAAAAAAAAAAAAAAAAAAAAAAAAAAAAAGACATAATTTGCAATTCTCAAGTTTTAAAAGGCTGTTAGAAACCTTATATCACCATCCCATAAAGTTCCAATGGGTAAATGCAATTGATGCTTCATTTTTACAAGCAGTAGTATCTTTTTACATTATTGTCTGTGTATCTTGACAGAGTAATAAATGTAGACTGGGTCAGGTTTAGTCAATCTTTTTGGGCATAGAACCTGGCCAACAGAGGAGGTTGTTTATTATTTTATTATTTCTATAGGAATTTTTGGTACCAGTGCTTCTTAAAATCTAATGTGCACACAAATCACCAGAGACCTTGAAGTTTAGATTCTGGTTTGGTTTGGGGTCAGGGAGCAGGGCTGAAATTGTACAGTCTATAAAAAGGATTGTTGTGATTCCAAGCTGCAGCCTGAAGACCAGGCCTCAACAGGCTTCTTCCAAAGGAGAGCTCTGCTCCATAGGTTTCTGTGCTTTATTCTCCATCCTCTCAAGGAGTTGTTACTAAACATGGGGCTTATTAAAGAACACTTTGGCAAGATTTCAGGAAAAAGCTGAAGATAGCCTTTTCCTGGTTGAAACCTCTGACACCCAAAGTAGGCCAGCTTTTTAGATTCTAAACCTCTCATTTTTAAATCGTCGTTTAAATAAAAATTTTTAAATTGAGGTAACATTGGTTAATAATATTATACAAATTCTAAGTGTACAACATTATAACTCTCCACCTGTATATTCTGTCCTATGCTCACCACCAAAAGTCTAATTTCCATTATTTATCATATATATTGGAGCCCCTTTATCCATTTGTCCTTGCCCCCCCCCCTCTTAATTTCAGAGAACAATCAAAATCCTTCCTGCCCCCTGCCTTCCACATGCATCACAAAACACCTGTCTGCCTCTCTCCCTTCTGCACCTTTGCTAGGATGTTAAACTCCTTCACAGGGTCCACACAGCATTCAGCTTACCTCTTCCATGATCATAATCGTCCCCAGGGGCTGTCCATGTGAGATTGATACGATTGTCCCCTTGGATCTTTGCCTTCAGGTCAGTGATTTGGCAAGGTGGAAAGAGATCAGGTATGGGAGCCTTTGGGATTTCGGAGGCCACAAAAGAACCTCCTGAGGATGTTCTGCTGAAACGCATGTGCTTGCATTGAAGATCATTCTTATTAATTTCAGGTCTTGGTGGATTCCATTTTACTTCACCTGCATTAAGATATTCCTCAGTACATGGTAAGCTGCACAAACTGGCTACACTTTCCTCTGTTTTGTGTTATTGGACTGCCCTCTTTCTACTTTACCCTTTCCCTTCTCCCCCCCCCCCAAAAAAAAAAATTCATTTAATTATTTGGTGTAAATATGCCAGATCATAGAGAAAGAAGCAAAGAGAGAGTCCCAGTTCTTTATCTTACAGATATTTAGTGGAATAATTTTCATAATTTATTTTCATGACATTTGTCCTGGAATTATTTCTTTTTCCAACTTTTAGCCTATCCTGATCGAACCCTTCCACAAGCAGTATAAATACTACTTCTGTTTTAAACCTCCTCAGATTGCCTCAAGAAGTCTCTTCCACCTAAGCAATACTGTGGGTTCCATTATCTTTTCTATTTATTTGGTAATTAATCACCTGGACCTTTAAGAATTGCCTTGTTTATTTGTTCTGTGAATGAAATGTTCTATGTTAGGGATTGTATGACTTTATGCATTTGAATGACTTCTGATTTTTCTCAATGAATGCATGGAAACTTAGTTCTTATAGCAAATTCACTTTCTCATAAACTCTACTTTTAGCCCTTAAAAATTTTGCCTGTAAGACAAATTGATCTTCATACCCATTAATCTGGTCTTGGGCAAACATGAAGTAGGTACCTCGGCAGGTGAAGGGTTAGTATTGGACTCATCACATCTCTTTTGTTACTAAGGCTCATCAAGGTATAGAGGGAAGAACATGTCTTCCCAATGCCAAGCCCGGTGCTATTACTAATAGTTATGAGAGTCAATAACTTCTCTAACCTCTGTTTCTCTATCTGTAAAATGGGATAATTAGGATAATTAAATGTAATAATGTAATTAAGACACTGAGCCTAGGTCAGATACAGGCACTAAATCAGTTCCTTCCTGCCTTCACCTAACTAAAAAAAAAAAAAAAAGGACACATGGGGATAAAATAAGCTAACATTTAGACAGAGCTTTTCAAGCAATGGTATCTTTTAGAGCATTTTTCCCCCTATGATTTACATTTGCATGAGGAGATACCACATGGCTCAGAGTTCTCCCTTTCCTAAGCATACATCCAAGTGAAGAGAAGCATACATTCATCTACTATTCTTCCTGGTCTGAGCAGAAGAGAAAAAGAAAGGAAAGAAGATAGGTTTATGAAAATATTGATGTAAATAATAAGCCTTAAATTGTTATTATTTTCTCTTTGGGAATGCCTATGTCAGTGGAAAGAGCTTCATTACAAAATGTTTTTAAACTTATTAGATATAATAAACAGTTACTGAATACTTACTGTTTACTGGCAATAGCTTATTAGGTATATAGTTCCTTGATTATTCCTTATAACCATTCTATGTGCTGGTAACCATTATTATCCCTATTTTACAACTGAGGAAAATGAAGAACAAAGAGATGAACTGAAATAATTGACTTGTTAGAGGGCTGGAATTTGAACTGAGGCAGTGAAAAAATAAATTCGATCTAGTGTCTTCAATTGGGGGCTATTTTGCCCCCAGGGGATAATGGATGAAGTCTGGAGACATTTTTGATTGTTATGACTGTGAGGGTTGCTTTTGTTTTCTAGTGAGTAGAGGCCAGGAATGCTGCTGAACATCCTACAAAGCACAGGACAACCCCCCACAACAGATAATTGTGTGGCCCAAAAGATCAATAGTGCCAAGGCTGAGAAACCCTAATGTAATCCTGCGCCATTCTCCCGAAGGCTTAATGGTTTCTTCTTGATCACAAGCCTTTTACTCAAGTCAGGTGTGTTATTACAGATTACTTACCATTCTCAATCCAGCCAGGTATGTACATGGCTCCATTCTGCTGGGGCATAACTCTCCGTCTGGCTGTGTTCACTCCTCCCAGCGCCCGCACTTTTACACTGTACCTACCATTTGTATCGTAAGCTGTAAAATACCTCGAATAGATACCATCATCTTTAGTAGCATCAGCACCTTGATAGGGAGATGGAGAAATTAATGAATATCCTAAAAGTAACTGTGCACTTGTATATTTCCAAATCAAAGGTGCATTAAAATTTTCTAAGAGAATTCAGCATGATCTTCAAGAGAGTTTAGGATTTGACTATGTAAAGGATGATATCTACTTCTTTTTCGCATGTGTGTGTGATATGTATGTCTGTATTGTTTCATATGTGTACACCTTATCTTCCTGAACGGTTGTCTTTCTTTTTGAAATCAAAGATCATGTCATGTGTCTCTGTTACATCCAACCTAGTGCAGGTTAACTACTTGATAGATATCTGTTGTATTGGATTGAATCACTGTTATGTTACTGAGAAGAAAAAAAATGTTATATGATTATTTTAAAAAAATTCATGGCTTCTCCCAGGTGGATTTAGGAAGGAAATTCATTTATAGATTTTGTCCTAAAAAGATTACTTGTATCACAGTAAGCAGCAAAGTTCCTCCTAAAAAGAAATGTAGAATTCTTTCTTTTTTTTCTTTCTGTTAGATTTCTTAAATAAAAAATAATGGTCAGGATTTTCACTTTGGGAACAAGAAAATATAGAGTCTGCATAGATACAGGAGTCACATAAAACTACTTGAATTTATCTCTGCTGCTTTCTGAAAGCCTCAGTTTCTTCATTTGTAATGTAGGGATAGTGATATCTCAACAGTGTGAGGTACAGATAAAAATGTATATATATATATATATTTGGTCACACAAAACCCTAATGTAAGATAGGTATTAATTTTTTGGAGCATATGAATGCCCTATGATAACTCCCTAGAATCTCTGAGCTATTGAGCTTGAGCCACCAATATGTTTGGGCTTTGCAGAAGCTAAAAGTAGGCCCTTTTTCATGTTGTCCACCATTTAGAAATACAGGAATTGGTGTGGGGAGCAGAAAGCTCTCCCAACCAGACCCTCAGTGCTGCACTTCCTGTTTCTAAGGGTCCTCAGCAGGCCATGCCCTCCTGCTGTTGCTTTTTGGAAAAGGAAAATGTGTTTTCCAATTTCTTGGGTGGTTACCTGCTCCATTGTCCAATAGTTCCAAGGTAACTGTTTTTCCGTTCGCTGATTCTATCAGGGCTGTGACACTGGCCCCCAGAATTGGCAAGGCTCCTTGGTGAACCTTTGCATAAACTACCATAGGGCTAGGGAATTTGCCTTTGTCTTTGTTCATTTTAGAGGTCACTGTAAGTGGAGGCAAGGTAGCACTTGATGCGCGGGTGGTGACAGTCAAAGTCAGGGTCTGGGAGCTTGCTTGCAGACTGTAATCCCAAGGGCCAACCTGACCAAAACAAATGGAGACAATTCCAGTTAGGATCCAGGTGACACAGACCTGACTTCTGTGAGGAGCCTAGCTGATACAAGCATGTTAAAGCAATCTAAGATGGTTTTTGCTACTCGCAGCCAAGGGAAACTTCTTCTGTATGCTTGAGCTAACTACATGGTTCTAATTGTCAAGAAAGCCCTAATTGGGGAAAATGAAGTCTGAAAACTTTGTCTTATCTTTGCCTTGGTTTCTCAAGGGCAGGATCAAATGGCTGGGTTACTGGGATAGAAGAAACAGTTCTCATGAACCTGACTCTTCAAGGGTGATGTTGCATCTTGTAATTTGAACCTGGAGAAAACAACACAGCTTTCCTTTCTTTTGACTTGCTGTCATACTGAGTGATTTCCTTTGGATTGAGATTTTTCCCGGTTCTCTCTTTCATTCAACACTGACTTTCCCTTTAACAATCATCCACATTTAAAAAAGCTATGGTTATTCTATATAAACTTCACCTTGTCAAATTGTGAGAAAGGGACATGCTGAGTCCATACCTTGGCAGTGCCTGGGATTGGGAGGTAGGCCATTTTAGTGTTTGTGTCCACTACGAAGCCATCGTGTTTCTTTCCGCTGGGATCCCAGAGAAGGATCTGGGGAGGCTGTGCTGTCCAGGTGATGAGAAACAAGGTGTCGTTTCCCACAGTGCTGTCCACAATTACTGTGCCATTCATCCACTGGCTGGCCTGGAGAGTTGCTCCTGTACTCTCAAGCTGCTCAGAAACAAACAAACAAACAAACAAACAAACAAACAAAACAACTCTTTACTTTCTGGAGACTATAGCTCCCATCACAGGGTCTCTTTCATTCTGCCCCCCAACATTCAGTTGTCTCATTAAAAAGCCCTGAATGCTTGCGTCCTCGGTTTGGTATTTTGCTATTATGATCTAATTCTAAATTACCTCTCCAGCTTTAGCTTCCACAAGGTTAATTCCTGCACCCAAACCAGACCACTTCCCTAAACGATTCTATGACTATCACTTCTCTTGGAAGTATGTATGTTCCTCTCTTTTTGGAAGTATGTGTGTTCCTCTCTTTTTGTCCAAGCCTCACCTATCCTTCAAATTTCACTTCAACCGTTCTCTGATGTCCATCTCACTTATCAGCTGAGAGTAACTGCTCCCTCCCGTGAGCTCCCACAGGGGACTGTTTCTCTCAGTCCTTTGATATTCTCACATTGTGTTTTGCTTTATACCTACCGGTATGCAGAGGTCATCTTATTTACTACACTATAACTATGACTGGGACTTCTTTTCATCCATATATGGATAGTTTGGATTGCAAATAACTAAGTGTTAGGTTGAGTATTATTGCAGTCCGTGTAAAGATAAATAAGTCAGTTGCCAAGGTTGTTTGTTTCTTGGAGTAGAATGGAGCTGAGAAGCTGGATTAAGATGCGTTAGAAAGAATTTTGTAAAAAGTGTGATTTTGAGGATTATGGCCTAGAATATTACTTATAGTCCTTAAATTGAACTCTTACTAGAAGATAAGGAGGCCTAGTCATGGAGCCAGACTTTGTAGTTCCATAGGGAGATACAATCTTGGATCTGATTCTTACGACAAGTGGGTAAATGAATCACACTCATTTCTTCATCACTCTTCCTGTTAGGTTTCTTAAATAAAATACGAATGGGCAGAAATGGCCTGATTGTGAACTTGTCCTTTTATCAGTTTAATTACTTTTTAAAGACACATTCCTTCCATTTCTAAACCAGGCTCTCAAGTTTAATTTTCTAAATTTGAACTAGGATAACCCAAAGGAGGATAATTGCTTTCTTCTTTGACGGAATAATTGCTATATTGGTAGACCAGAAAGCCTGTTGTTTTGAACTCTTATCATTATTTGGCTTTGACATCAGGCATTCCTTTACTTTTATCCAAACTTTCACAATGAAAGTTATAATTCACACAGGTATGAGTACTGATTGTTTACTCTCTCTAGTTAAAAAAAAAACACACACCATGTAAGTAATTTTTGCACTATTAAATAAGAGCATTTTAAAATATGTTTGTCCAGTTTTTTTTCCTCCCAAATAGTATCATGGTTTTAAAAAGAAAACTTTGTTTTCTTGAAATTTTAGAATCAGAAGGGCCTGATTTTTCAGAAAACCAGGAGTTTTCTGGTTCAGATCTGTCTGAGAAGCTGAAGCCCAGATGGATGAAGTTCATTACCCGTGGTCGTAGAGTTAATGACCGACCCTGGACAAGACTCCAGGTGTCTGGACTGACAGCATGGGTTTTTCACAGAACAAAGCACTTTCCATCCATTATATGAAAATCTTGGCCAATATCAGAGACTTGCAGTAATGGAAAAATAGAGCAAGTAATCCCTGAACACTTTTCCTGGAAAACTTGTATTGAGATGATCTACTCTGAAGAAAATTCTAAGCCAATTATATTGCTATGGGTGCTTGTTAACAGATGTTTAAAAAAAAAAAGAATTCTTGGACCCATTGTATTTTATGTTGCTGGATTTTATGAGGAGTCACTTAGTCCTATTTCCAAACAAGTAAACACTGTTGCTTTGTTTAAATGAGTAGTGTTGCATTTTAGGAATAACGTTTTAGCCTAAAACATGTATTTTAATTTTAAGTCACTAGTAGGAGAAAGCAGAACTTAAAACTTTTAACCAGTAAACTCTCCATCTTGGCTAGCATTATTTATAAACATGAAAAATCTCAGAGGAAGAAGTCTGACCTGGATGGAGCGCTGGGAGAGAACTCCGTTTCCTGATGAGAGGGCCCCAAAAGCGTCAATGAGGCCATTGTTCTGAGCCTGATCTGAAGCATATGTCTGCAAACCTCCTGAGAAGAAATTACATAGTCAGAAGTTACTAGGTAGAAATCAAGTATGTGCATCATTTTTGCTCTTCTTAAGGTAACAGAATACACAAAATAAATATTCTACTGTGTTATTTTTAAAGTATATATTGTTAATATACATTTTTTATTGATTTCAGAGAGGAAGGGAGAGGGAGTGAGAGAGCGAGAAACATCCACGATGAGAGAGAATCTTGGATGGGCTGCCTCCTGCACGCCCCCTATGGGGGGATCAAGCCTGCAACCAAGGTACATGCCCTTGACCGGAACCAACCCGGGACCCTTCAATCCACAGGCCAACGCTCCATCCACTGAGCCAAACCGGCTAGGGCTCTACTATGTTATTAAAGTATTAACAGATAAACATCAAATAAGTATCCAGATTAACTCAGAAGTTGATACTAGCTTTTTGATCACACTAAATAATAACTCCAGCAATATCTCGGTGGTATGGCTACTTCAACTATGTGCTAGCAAGCATGAATTTGACAAGCCCAAATTGATATTATAAAATTCATGTTTTGCCCAGTGGGTGTGGTTTGGTGGTTGAGCATTGACCCATGGACCATGCACTTTCATAGTAGAGAATCTACGAAGCCTTACTCTAAGCCTATGGATTTATTCTTTTTTTAAGACATAATCCTAAGAGGATGACTTCTGAGTTTTTTCCTAAGTCAGGAAAGCTGTGCATGTGACAAAAGAAGAAATAAAAGCTGGCGAGGAACAGTTATAGAAAAATACAATATGTGATAAAAATGATATTATTCTACACCAAGCAGTTTTGGGTTATTTAGAATAGGTGAAACTAAAATAGTTGATGTGAAAGTGCTTTTAAACGATTAATGTCATCCAGTCTAAAGAAGAGGTTTTGATAATCCTGTTGATAATACAATTGGTGCCCTACCTAGATCCTTTATCTGGGTGAGTGCATCTCTTCTCAGCTGCTCTGTCAGCTGCTAATGGCATATAGCTGCCCCATTTTCCAGAGAATGGCCTTACCAAAAGGGGAGTCCCAAGCCCCAAGCTAGGGAATAACCTGGCCCCCCCACCCCTGCTCCGCCCTGACAGTCCACAGCCATGGACTGATGGACACAGTGGCACAGAAGCCAGTGCCCTTGCCTTAAAAATGGACCGAGCTTGCAGTGCAGTTCCAGCTCCGAGTCTTCTGTGGAGCCAGGCTTCTGCTGGACTCCAAGTCCAGTCGGATCCATACCCAGCTCCTTCCCCTCTCCTACCCTACACTCTTCCCAACCCCCCTCCCCCCTTCATGAGAGCTCTCCCTCTGTAAGTTACATGCACCTGAACCCCTGCCTCAGTTTCTGCCTCTAGGAAACCCAGCCCAACACAGCGAGTGTTAGGAGCAAACCGCCCTGTCATTTTAGCTGCCTCAGAAGGAGAAACTCAGCATAATAATTGCTACCCATAATGCTGGTCCTAAGTAAAATAAATACATCAAAACAAATCGTGCCCATCCATTCTGCTAAAGAAGCCAGGGGCATATGGGATCTATTTTTACCATCTGTTGTGCTAGAAGCACAATTGATTAATGTTTTACAGAGACGTGCATTGTATTCCACATTTTCAGAGTGACCTTCCGTGTGGCTGAGCAGACCCCTTTCTTCGCTCTTCCTCTGCTACTCTTCGTTAAAAGTCCCAACTCAGATGTCATCTCTCTGGACCCTCTCCTTCCCTTCTTTGTGCCTCTTCGTACTTTCTATTGCCAACAGAGCCCTGCATCATGGTCTAATGTAATTGGTGTCTCCACAGGTCTCTTGCAGCTGCAAACTGGAAGTGAGTGTTCCTGGCTAACCTAGTAGACTCCTCCCAGCTCTTACAAAGTTCCTGGGAAGAGAGTCCCAGGTCCTCATTAGGGTGCCATGCTGGTTCCATCTTCTCCATACTGCCCTAATCCTAGAACCAATGCCTTACAATAAATGGGTGGAGTAGGTTCTAATGGTTATTTGGGGATAAGTCAGTCACTTGACCAGTGAAATGACCCTTCTTCTCCCTCTCCCCCCTTTCCCCTCTTCCCCAGTTCACTGGAGCTCGCAGTCCAGTGGAAGGAACAATGCTGTGGGGCTCAGCAGATTGCCCCTCACCTGTCATTTTAGACAGCTCCTCCAGTTCCTTCGCGGCATCGGGCCCCAGGGCAACTGTGTGGATGATGGCTCTGCTCTGTTTCACCTCAGGAAAGCATGTGCTTATGGAGGTATCCTCCCCATCAGTTAGTAGCACAATTTCAGATCCATCAGTTGGGTATTTCTTCCTAATCACCTAAGGACATAATTAAGAGAGTGAGTTACCAAACTCAGGACGGCCAAGGTATTTGTGAAAATTGCATGTATAGAAAACAAGAAAAGAAATTCCAGAGAGAACAAACCAAAATGTCTAGGGATGGTCAAATGTTTCTCTGCTTTGAAATGATACACTCTTAAATGGTTCTGATTGGTCAATACCCAGCTCATATGAGCTGTTAAAAATTTTAATGTATCCTTTGTGCCACTCAGGGTGTATCCTAAGAAACTAGAAATACCAATCAGAAAGAATATATGCATCCTTATGTTCATAGCAGCACAATGTACCATAGCTAACATTGGGAAACAGCCTACTAGTAAGTGCCCATCAGCAGATGAGTGGATTAAAAAACCGTGGTACATCTATGCAGTAGAATACTATGCTGCGGTAAAAAGAAGGAATTCTTACTATTTGCAACAGCATGGATGGAACTGGAGAGCATTATGATGAGTGAAATAAGCTAGTCATAGAAAGATAAATATCACATGATCTCACTCATTTGTGGAATAGAATGAATAACATAAACTGATGAACAAGAACAGTTCCAGAGACAGAGAAGCATGGATCAGACCTTCAAACCTCAGATGGAAGGAAGGGGAGGGCGGGGGTAAGGGATCGAGATCACTCAAAGGACTTGTATACATGCATATAAGCCTAACCAAATGACAGAGACACCAGTGTGTGTTTGTGTGGGGGGGGTTGAGGGTATGAATGGGGTGGGGTGGGGGGCAATGGAAGGATAAGGACACATATGTAATACCTTAATCAATAAAGAAAAAATAAAGAAATTGTAGCCATAAAAAAATTAAAGTACTCTGTGACTAAAACAAAACATTTTATTCCTAGTAATTCCAGTCCCTACTTGTCCTATGACATCTAAGTAGTAACTGCTAGACATGAACTACAGTTTTTATATAGTATAGAGAGGACAATATTGAATAAGATTATGATGGAAGGAAAAGCACATAAAAGAACAGTGTTATCCTCCTAAGGAGAGGTTGGCATGAGTCCTACTCTTTTAAAAAGAGTGGAAGGAAGACCCAGAAGGAGGGGAAACAAGCAATCAAGCCTTCCTTCTCTGAACCAGACTCTCAGAAGGGGAGGCGTCTGAAGTAGGTTGAAAGGAAAGCTTGGAGCAGAGAAGACTTTCGCCCTCCTATTTTGAAGTCTGAGAGGGGAAGCCACACAAGGGAAGAGAGAAGGACTGTGACTGTTGTCATGTGAAGGAGCCCAGAGCCCAGGAGCCTATCAGCCATGGCCATGGCCTTGGTCTGCCTGAGCTGCAGGGTCTTAGAAGCTAGAGAAAGAGCTTAACTTGGATTCCCTTGTCAACGCTCCCCATCACTACTACAGGTCATGGAAAACATGCAGATATTCCCACACACACTATTATGGAGATAGAAGACAGCTGATGTGAGAGTCAGCAAGCAAGAGAACAGTTCATCTTGTCTTAGAGGCTGAGAGCATGAGTGGGGGTGGGGTGGGGGGTAATGGGTAGATAAGGACACATATGTAATACCTTAATCAATAAAGGGGAGAGGACATAGGTATGCTCAGGGCTCTGCTCCAACAGTGAGAGTCAGGGTAGGGCTGAGGTAGCTAGGGAGGACCACTGAGCCCCGATCAAGCCAAGAGAACAGGCAAAGCACAGTGGCCACACCTCACCAGACACCACTACCAGGAGCCCAGGACAGACCTGTTCAGGGTCCTCTAACGAGGACCAAGCGGATCTTGAGGACAGTGTAGGATTCAAGGCCCTTTACCTCATCACCCTAAAGTCACCCACAAGCTCCTTCTGACCCTCCATTCAGATCCCATAGGGCAAGAGAAGCATTTAAACTCCAACTGTATCCCTCACACTCTCTCACCCATCCGAGTGGAAAATGCAGAACCACACATTCTCTCCTCATCGCCAGGCCATCTGGCATTAGTCATCTCCCTCAGGGTTTGCATAACAGGGGTTCAGTATATGTCAGTGATTTCACTGTCAATTTTCCTCCTTTCTTTGCTTCTTTAATCAAAGCTTGAGTGAGTGGCAGGGCAAGAGAACCCAGATGCACATAGGCATCTGGCAAAGGGTTTTCCAGCTGACTGTGTACACAATAGAAACTACTCTCAGGGAACTGGCCTACAAGGTAGAATAAAAGGGCCAGAGGGATAGACTGCATTTGAGGGAAAGTTTGATCCATGTCCCTTTGTACCTTTTTCATAGCAATCATTATAGTTTCTGCATATTAACTTGTGTGACTATGTGGTTAATGTATCTGCCCAATAAGATTATAAGCTCTGTGAACAGAGGATGTGTAGTCTCTCTTTGGCCCTTATGGTGTTCATAATGCCCAACACAGTGCCTCGCTTGTAGCAGGCACACATGAATATTCTGAATGCAGGCATGCATAAGGAAAAGCAGGAAGGCACTGATGTAGAAAAGCACAAAAGCACGAATGAAGTAGTTAACAATAGTTTTGCAGGGCTGTGTCTTTATATCACTTGAACCACTGCTCTACCCTTAATTGTCTATTTCAACCAGCTACGAGGCATGTATGGAAACACTGGGAAGGAGGACTCTCTTAACTGTAAATTGTAAACACTGACGAGCTACAACAGGGGAACTTGTCTCACAGTAAATGCTGATCGAAGCCCAGTGCAGATGGACGTTCCTCCTCCGGCCACTGTGGGTAAGTTTCTGATGAGCGTGTCCCTTTCCGCGCCGCCTTTTATCTGCACGAGTTCACTTTGGACTTGGGCAGCCTTGTCAAACATCACCATGCCTACCCGGGACCCTTGCTCAATGGTCTGCAGCAGGAAAAGTTTGGCTGCTTGATTCATTCGTTTTAGGCGGTCACCAGCCTGAATGGAGAAGCAGAAGACAGGCAGCCAGGTTGTGGTTAGGTGGTCAGACTAAGAACAGAACAGGCCAGAGGGAATTTGAACAGGGTTGTCTCAACAGAGAGTAAGCGGCAGCGAGCTTACTCAAGCCATACCCTTCTATGGGAGAAATGTTCTCCTTTATATTTGGCAGTATTTTGGAGTAGAAGTTTAGGGCCTTTGTAAAAAATAGCCCTAAAAGACAAAACCAGATTAAGCTTTAGTTCAATCACGAGGCTTTAGAAACAGCCTATGCATTGTCAGTGAAACATATACGTTAAGGCTGTGTAATTCCTAAATCGGAAGCTAATTTAATTTGGCAAGTGAGACACCTGACGCTGAATGTTTGTTGAATAAAGTGGCAGTAGGCATTCTTGATGGCAGTGTTAGTGCTGTAACGTCGGACTCTCGGGGCTGTCTAAATTATATTGTATGCAAATGTGAGATCTGGGTCCAGAGACTGAGACTCATTGCACATACTTTCATGCTTCCAGATTTATCTAGGACCAAGCACACAATTCTCTTTCCGATCTGCAGCAATGAGAAGGTGGGTTTGGGTGGTGGTGTCGTCATAGGAGTGGTTTTCTTAAAGTCCTCAGAGTCACGAATCACTTCCCAGGTGCTTCGGAGGTTGCATTTTTGGTTCTGCAGGTTTGGAGCTTCTTTGTTGTGGTTTGTTTCCGTACAGAATTCGACCACCTGAAATTGTTGATAAAAATGACATAGGTAACAATAACCTACTAGTTAAAATCTTTAATGATTTGATTGATTTAAAACATGTTAATCCCTTGCCCTCCTCCCCAGTCTGCTTTGTTAACTCATCATCTTGGCCCAATCTCCAAATCACTGCAGAGCATTACCAGAGAAAATCATAGTCATAATTGGAATTCTTATCTCCAAACATGCGTTTAACCTTGTGGACACCTTAGGGCTTCACAGCAATCATCTGCTTGCTTTTGGCTTCCTTCCTAGTTTTCTATTTTGGGCCATCACCATCATCACCAAGACATCTGCATTTCAACATTTCTCTCTTGGTATCATCTTATCTTTCCATCCTTTCACTTACCTTACCACTCACTTCATTCCTTCCCAATCACTTGCCAACACCTCACATTCCAACTTTTAACAGCCAACGTTCAGCCCTCTCCAAACCTACTTGGGTGTTTATTCCGCCGGCTCTTCAAACTGCTCATGTTCATAATTGAACTCGTCACCTTTCCTCTAACTCTATTCCTCCTCCTCATGTATTTCCTAGCTTGATGCCACCAGTATTCACTCAGTCCCCTAACTCAGGAACCTGAGAGTTTTCCTAGCAGCCAGCCCCCTAAAAAATAGCCAAGATCAATACAGTTCACTGTCTTTCCAGTTCATCTTCTCTCCTTTTCCAATGGGCTCTCCATCATTCAAGTCCTCACAGTCCCTCCTCACACTATTGCAGTCTCCTATTGGACCTTTCTTCCTTGCTCCCCTTCCAATTGGTCCACTCCACAGCTGCCAGAGGTATCTATCTTTTTACTCCTGAATTTAAGACCCTTTTGTGGCTTTACTTGGTCTCCAGATAGTCTGTACTACTTCACATAGCAAACAGCAATCTCTATAAAATGCATTTTTCCTTCACTCTCCACTTCACTGTGGCTGTGCAGTCCAAGTCTTTGATTTCCCCCGCTATAGCCTTGCCAGGCTGCTGTATATCTTGAGGGCTCATGATCCCCATCTGTAAAGGAGCTCCTCTACTTCTGTCCTCTGCATTGTGAACCTCACCTTCATGTTTCAGCCAAAAGTTCATTTTCAAAATAGTTTCTCATTTTCTACCTTTCCACCAAAGAAAAGGGAATTTTCACTCAACCCTGCCTATAGAAACTTTAGTAAGGCCCCTTCAACATTGCAGTGCATTCACTGAGCTGTAAATCTTCCTATGACAGAAACCTGTCTTATTAAATTTTGCTTCCTCAAAACCTAGTCCAGTATCTGACACATATAAAAGCTCAATATTTTGTAGTTTTTTAATCTACAAAATGGCAGTAGTTACTATATAAGAATTACATAAAAACATATGCAATAGGGTCACTACTAACAAAGCCAATAAGTGATTTTTTTTTTCTCTCTCTCTCTCTTCCTTTTGTTACATATTTACGTTCTTAGCATTTGGGGGATTAAAAAAGAGGCATAGTATACCTAAAATAGGTATAATTTAGGTCCTCTTTCTCAGTGATTTTATAGTATTATCATTCAATTAAAAATCTTAAGTACCTGGGATTCTATAATTTAGAATGTAATCATTAGCTGTAAAACAATTTTTTCTTTGCATTTTTCAGATCATTTTGGTAGTGTTTCCATGTTATCATTCTCTTTACTTTTTAGCAAGAAAATCTGAAAAACTCCTGCGTAAAACTCTAGGCAGAGGTTCTCAAACTTCACTGTGCATCAGCTTCAACTCTAGCTTGGTTAATTTAGAACATACACTCTGGGAGCCTCTGGGAAAATCCTGAACAAGTCTGGAAGTGGACTCCAAAACCAGAGTGAAGGGTGGGCCTAGAAACCATGGTGTATCATGTTGTTATTGACAATTTACTTTACCCTCTATTCCAAAAGGAAAACATCACTTTATGTAAGAGATGGAAGATAAGAGGGACTCCTCACTAATTAACTGATGCACTTAATCTAAGTTTGTGCAAATTCATGGATGTATATGTTTAGCATTAATAAGGGTAATTTTTCAAGTTTATCTTGTGGCCAATTGGTCATTAAAAAACCACTAAGAAATATTTATAAACTATTTAAAGCTATTAAAATTATGTATAAACTCCATAAGGGCACAGATACTCTTAAAAAGAGAAAATTTCAGGAGCATTTAAGACCTTGCTCCCTTGCATATGTTGTCAGCTTGGCTCAGATAAACTCATAAAAAACAGCAACAACAACAAAAACAAAAAACAACACACAAAAATGAACAAACACCATGAGAGAAAATTTTACTTAACAACTAAAAGTAAATAGGCAGGCTGAAACGAGATCTCTGAAAATTAAATTAAAGGCTACTGGTCTTGTCCTTATTAACTAATTAAAAGAATTCCCATGGGTAAGTTTCTTATTTAATGAAAAAAATTGTGTTTGTCTGCCTTTCAGGATATTTTAAGTCATTCTAAACACTGAAACTAAAAGCCAGTGGGAGAGAGAGGATGGAGAAGCAAGAACGGACCTGAAGAAGAGGAAGTGGGAGACGGGACTTTGCCCTGATTGTGCACTCTGGGCTGGTCCCACAGAGAATCAGCTACTTAGTAATGCCTTCCTAAAATTTTATCCTCTCCTGCAGCATCTGGGATAAAAAACCTCATTGAATTCACAGTGTTGGGGGCAAAAAGAAAGATACTTACAGAATTAACATGTTGTGAAAACATTATGGAAGCCTTCTCCGCCTGCTCACCATCAGGTATGAACTCACATCCTTTTTCAAACAGCCCTGTTACCCTGTCGATTTTGCAGGGTTTGGTCACACAGCTGCCTCCTTGACACTTCTTTACTACATTTCTACCAGTAATATCGGCCGAACACCTGAAAATGTATTAAGGTTAAATATTTAAGTGGCATGATTATTTCAAAGGGCTAGATTCTGTGGTTGAGCTCTACTGATGACCTTGTCCACGATGTCCTCTCATAATTCAAGAGACAAATACATCCTTAAATAGAAAAAATATTTCTGTTTGCCAGAATGTATCTGAGGGGTTTCCAAAATGGGATCAGAAATCGTTTCTATGCAGCAGAAAAGCTAAGTCTGGTTTATGGTTGCTGTTAGAATGAACAGGGGTTGCAGACCTGAGGCACTGCCCAATGTAGTCCCCTCCTTCCTGGAAAATCTGGCCTCCGTTTGGCTCAAAAGGCGTGTTGACATTCCCTGGGTTTTGTGGTTCTAATTAGTTTATGTCATACAGTTTTTACATAGTTCTTATATGTCCCTAAGTATTGTATATTTTCCTTTTATTATACTAGAGGCCCAGCGTGCAATTGAAATCGCATGAGGAAGTGCCCCACCTCCTGCCGTGGGGAGCCGGGACCTGCGCCTGACTCACGTGTCCCCCTGCCACCCTGCCTGTGTCTGCTCTAGGGCCACCTGAACCGCAGTGCTGGCTCAGGCAGTCCCCCCTATCTCTGTGTCCATCTCCGCTCTGGGCCTCACCTGCGGGCACAACCTCCTTTTGCCAGGTCGTGACCTGTTACAGCATCCCAACCTAATTTGCATATTACCTCTTTTTATAAATAAATAAGCAGCCGAAACCGATTTGGCTCAGTGGATAGAGTGTCAGCCTGTGGACTGAGAGGTCCCTAGTTTGATTCTGGTCAAGGGCATGTTCCTTGGTTGCGGGCACATTCCCAGTGTGGGGTGTGCAAGAGGCGGCTGATTGGTGTCTCTCTCTCACTGATGTTTCTGACTCTCTATCCCTTTCCCTTCCTCTCTGTAAAAATCAATAAAATATATTTAAAAAAAATACACACACAGATATATATATATATATATATATATATATATATATATATATGCTTGTAAATCTTGTTGCTATCATAAGTGGAATGCTTTTCTCTAACATCTTCTTATTTAGTATATAAATAATATATGAACACTATAGAAAATTTGGAAAATTACAAAAAAGTGTAAAGAAGAAAAGAAAAACATCATGTTCCACAATCAGCAATAAACTACTGTCAACATGAAGCATTTCCTCTCTGTATATCAGCATAACATGGCACCTAGAGTTTTGCTTCAGGCTTTTAAAAACTTAGTATGTTAGTATAATTAAAAATTTAATACCTTATTATAATTTATAACATTCTTTCAAACTGTGATTTTAAAAAGTTCATGTTCTCATACTATAAAATAAGTTTAGCTTAATTTATTTCATTTGATTTTCCCCAACTAGTCAGAACTAAAAATAAAACTTCAATGGATAAATAAAATTTCACATAAAATTTTGACTCTATTTCCAAGTTTGCAACATGATTGGTTTAGACTAAATCATCAGATCAAAAGTGTGAATATTTTATAGATTGCTGATATAGCTTATTCTACCATTTTCCATAAAATAGGTCTTAAACATGAAATTATTGGATTAAGAAAAAGGAAATAGTTTGGAGATTTGATATGTGTCACCAAATTGTTTTCCATACTTGTGCCAATTTATCTCTCTAACAACCATCTGTGAGAGCTTTCACCCACTGACAGTTACTTACTAGGTAATAAACGATTCTCATCTTTGTCAAATTTGCACCACTGTGATCGCTAGTAAGTCTGAACATTTTTTATATGTTTATTCACCATTTTTATTTCTTTTCCTGTGGATTATTTATTCTCCTGTTTCTATTTCTATATTATGATGTTATTGTTTTTCTACTGGTTTCCAAAGGTTCTTCATGTGTTAAAATACTAAGTTTTTAAAAAGTGTTTTTTATTAAATTTTGCAAAATTTTAAAATTTTTTTTTACCTTTTTCTTTAGTTTTTTAAATTTATATACAACAAAAATTTTAATGACTATGTAGCCAAATTTGTTATTCTCTTAGTTATATTTTTATATAATTCTTGAATGCATAGAAAGACCTTCACCACATAGAAGTATGATTTTATTAACAATCTTTTAGTTATCATTATGATTATGATAGTTATATTTAATGAGTATATTCAATTGAAAGAAGATGTTCATATTTTCCCCACACAGTTTAAATTGTCCTGATATCTTAAGAAATTCTGTTTTTCTCATACATCTATAATTCTAGCTGTCTTAAAGAGTAAATTATTATATATGTATTTGCCAATTCACATTGCTTTAGTTAGTATAGCTTAGTATATGTATCAAAATTCAGTAAGTAAAAGTTCCCTTTATTAGTATTTTAAAAAAATGTTCTTAGGTACTATCTATTGGGTGAATTCTGATATTTTTTTAAAATGAACTAAAATTGATATGCTTTTGATTAGTTTTAGAAAACTTATATATTAATTTGGGTTGAATTTAAATCATTCATGAATGGAAAAAAAATCTCTCAATTTTTCTTAATTTTCTTTTAAAGCCTTTAGAAAGGATTTTATAGTTTCTTAAAATATGACATCTACCATTCTTAGAGTTTTACACTTCATTATAACTTTAATTGCTATCTTGAATGGAGTATTGTGTCCATTATATTTTTGAACTGGTTATTGTTAATATTGGAGAAGAAAATTTGAATTTGAATTTTGTATCCGGTCACCTTATTGACTTCCTCTGCCTTTTATTTCTATTTGTTCCCCGGGGTTTTCTACGTGGACCACATAGCATCTGCATAAAAGCAGCTTTCTCTCTTTCTCATAGCTTTCCCCCACCCTCCCCTTTTTTAACCTCCCGGGTTTCATGTGTTATTGCCTTGGATACAACTTTCTAAAAAAGGTTCACTAGCTGCGCTAATACTGGCCATCCTATGTTATCTCTAGTAATGTTTCTAGTATTTTCCTATTAAATACGATGTCGACTGTTGGCTTTCAATTAGTGTTTTGTATTCTATTAAAGAAATAGCCTTCTATTGTGGGCAGTATTGCCATTTTGTGATTGCTTCTAGGCCTTAAAATAATTTTTTAAGTTTAAAAGATAATAATCAATAAATTATTAATATGTTACAATAAAATTTCTTTTTCAAAGGACATGGTAATTAGCCAAATTTGCTAATGTTATCTGTGGAAGGAAGAACATACTACAGACGTAGATATTTCTAGACTATCTCTAGAAAGGAATATGTATTAATCAGTTTCTCTCTTGAAGGAATATATAGATGTCTAACTGAAGAGAAATTTATAGAAGTGGGAAAGGTACATGCAGGACGTGGAATGACATCCATTGGCTGAGATTTCAGAGGTGAACCCAATGAATGATCACATCAGGGAAGTGACCCTGGGCTGTAGTTTACATAGTGCAGAGGGAACAGCTAAAGGAATCTGGTACACTGTGCATGGCACTACTTGGCACTTAGTCTATTTATGCCCGAAGTGATATAACCATGAGGGAAAATATAATGGATGTGCACCAAGCTGACAGAGTCTGAATGTAATGAAGAAAGGGAAAAAGTGGAGAGCAGTGATGTCCCTCTGGGAGAATGGGAAGCCAAGGCTGAGCTCTAAGCCAAGGCTGTGCTCTGCTTGGAAGCAAGTTCCAAATAAAGAGGAACCACACCAAAAATATAACTAAGAGAATAATAAATTTGGCTAAACCACACCCTTATGGGGTCATCAGCAAGAGCATTGGAAGCAAAAGTGGGTGTTGTACCAATTTCCAGTATTTAAAAAGAAACTGTTATTTCCTGACTCAGGCATACGTGTTCAAAGTTTTCAAATTCCTCCTGAGAATCTATTGGAAAAAATGTTTGCTTGTCTTCGTGACTCAACATATTATATTAATTACTTAATATCACAGCATTTTGGGATTTCTGGAAGACTTGTTATGTGGGTTTGGTGTGTTTGTTATTCCTTTGATTCTGCCAGATATAACTTACTGTTCTTTTATTTAAAATATATTTTTAGAAAGCTGTACCTGATCTGCAGAATTCTTTTTCATGTCTTCTGTCAGGTTTTAGTATCTGAATTGTGAAACAGTTCACTGAAACTGTTGGTTGCAAGAATTCACCTATATAATCATGGCAGCCAAGGTTACTTTCCAAGTGTTCAGTTTGCTTTCTATTGACATCACATAGTTAATTAAACTGGGAGAAGTTTTCTGCTTTCTTTTAATATTTGGATAGTCTTTCAGATAAGTTCCATAATCTCTCCTGGGCCCATTCATACTGACCAAGTCCACACGGATATCACTCTGCTTTCAAAGCATTGAATAGCCCCAGTAGCTTTGTTTATTTCGCCGACTTAGATACAGAAAGATGGAGTCCCTGAACATAGCACCTGTGGATTTCTTATAATTGTATATGCACATTTATAAAGGCAAATGATTTTTAGCTGAAGAATAGAGAACTCAACTAATTGAAGTGCTTGTAAGCTAAGCAAAAGTGGTAGTTTTGTGGAACTCTGTAACAGGAGCCACTAACAGAGAATGAGAGACAGAAAACAAGGCCCCCCAAAATGGACATTTTAAAAGTAATCAAGAAAAAATGGGTTGTGATTTAAAATAGTTTGGAAAAAGTCAAGTCAAGTCAACATATCCTTACCTTATTGCTTTGTTTCTTCCATTAGATAAGTAGAATTTCTGGTCTTTATTGTATTCATCAAATACTCCCCATCGAAGATGTGCCCATTCATGGACAAATACCCTTCCTGTGAGAAAATGTTTTAAATACTTAGTTACAATAAGAATGCTAAAATTACTTTCTAATGCAGGGAGAAAGTAATTCTTGTGACTTTTATTATGCTTTGCTATGTTAATTTTTTTTTTTTTTTTTAACATCTTGGCTTCCTTAGAAAGAAAACTCTAATATGACAACTCTACATTTCTTAAAAATGTAACTACTTATTTTGGCTCACCAAATGCCAATTAGGCACACAGGAAGTGCCAGAAAGTTTTTATACAAAGAAAGAACAACTGCTCTGTCCTTGGCATAGCGAACAGTCTTGTGGATGGCATGCCAATCAGATAACTAAAATACTTATTGGTGCAAGTGCAGTGATGAAGGGCGGGACATGCTGCTGTGGGGCCTGGAGCATTGGTAGGGCAGCCAGGCAGCACCCCCAGTGGCTCAAACTCCAAGGTCTGCCTACTTTACCCTCTTGCCTTTTTAAATATATATATATATCAATAATATATCAATAATATATATGTATATTATTGATTTTCCTACAGAGAGGAAGAGAGAGGGATAGAGAGTCAGAAACAACAATGAGAGAGAATCATTGATCAGCTGCCTCTTGCACACCTCCCCTGGGGATGTGCCTGCAACCAAGGCACATGCCCTTGACCAGAATCGAATCTGGGATCCCTCAGTCCGCAGGCCGAAGCTCTATCCACTGAGCCAAACCGGCTTTGACTTCACCTTCCAGTCTTATTGCCACTTACTCCTGAATTACTACCATAGCCACCCAACTGCCCTCCATGTCTCCAGTCTTTAGAGGCTACCTTATGGTGTTCAGGGTTAAATTCACTCCTTAATATGGGGTCCCTGATAACCCTAGCTCTGCTTTTCTCTGCAGCCATGTGTCTTGCTGTTCTCCACCTACTTCCAGGACTCTATAATCACAATGAATCCCTGGCACTGCTTTTACTTTCCAGAGCCACTTGCGGCCCTTTCTCATCTCTGGTTCTTTTCACGTATTCTTTCTCTGTGTGGGATTCTTTCCCTTGCTCTGTCTGGATAGTTGCTTCTCTTCTTTCAAAATCAAGCTTATATCCTCCTAGAAGCTGTCTCTGACATCCCCAGACTAGGCCCAGCACCCCTCTTTTACCATATTCCATATGGCACTTCCATTCTATTATTGTTGCTGCTTTCTTCCTGTCTCCCACACTAAACACTTGTCTCCATGAGGACAGGCTCCATGACTTTCTCATTGTCATGCCTGGGCATATAGCACCCAGAACTTAATAGGTGCTCACTGAGTACTTGTTAAATTTGGAGGAATTAGTGACTTAGTACAGCTCAGTTTTCCTGGAATGTAAATTCCTAGATAGGCTAAATTTGGAGGGTTAGGTGAGGGGGTACACCTGAGGAAATGCTGGTATCTAACACTGAGGGTTTGGACCCTGTTCTGAAGGTGCTGGGAGCAGAGGATGGCCTCTTAGAGGTAAGGAAAGACTGGGAGAGAGTATAAGTGGAGTCACAGAACAGAAAGGAGAGATTATGAAGGAATGCCATTCTCTGTGGTGACTAAGATGCTGGAGTGGGCCCAGAAGTGAGATGGGGCAATTAGTGTATCAATTCAGCACATACTGACTGAGCCATCCATTGGGAATTTTTCTGGTCCTGTTATGGAGGTGAAAGAGAGGGTTGTAGAAGCACAAGAGATATGTTTGATACATCTTTTTGATAAGTCTGTAGTGCTCCAGTGAATGTGGGGGGAGGGGGCATGGAGGTACCAGGACTCTTTTGTTTGAGTGAAGAAAATCTAGCTGGTTCTAATACTTTGAAGATAATAAAGATGCCTGTAGTAGTTATTAAATAACCTAATTTGCTAATACTAATCACATTTGATTATACCTGGAGAGTACATATTTTATATATACTTCCTTGCTTGTTTGTTTTAACATTTTTTTTTCTCCAGAGATTGTGCTATGTAGCCCATGGGTGTGATAAAGAGCTCATTTTGTGAAGGAAAATTGGATGTTTTTCTTTAGTTACAGTTTTTTTGCGAGCTGAGCTGCAGGGATATTCTCTGGGCTGCTTAAAGTGTGGTCCATAGTCCAGCAGATCAGCATCACCTGGGAGTTTGTTAAAAATGCAAATTGTTGAGACCCACCCCACACCTACTGAATCAGAATCTGATTAACAATCCTCCTTGTCAATTTGCTTGAACTAAGTCTGAGAGCACTGTGAGTCTCCGCCATCTGCTGGCTACTATGTGAATTACAGGCAGGAGGTAACAGATCCATAGAAACTTAATAACATTTCAATAAATTACAACTATTTTATGATAATAATAATTTATAAAATTAAAAACACTACAGTTACATATTTTTGCAGAATATTAATACATTAAATTTCTAACTGAGAAACATACTATTCTGAACCCCTGCTTTAAGTGAAAATGCATGCTGTGACGTTATTTGGCTCATATGTCACTCGGAAAGATAATGCTATTTTGACCTACTGTGAATAAAAATGATTAAGTTATGAGGAATATAGCGGAATGTTTCTTCTCTACCCATACCTTGTGGTCCATATTGAAACAACTTTTTTCCTACTATGAAGTCAGGAGTGAAATTAATCCTTTCACCCTTTTCTCCACAATTTCCCATCTGCTCAGTATAGGGTTCATCGTTTCCTGGAGGATTAGGTTCAGCAACTAGAACATCAGCCTGAAATTCAAGAAAATGTTTTCATCATTACAAAATTTTAACAAAGGAATCGACCTTATTCACACTGGAGTATTGTGAAACTATTTTATTTGGTTCTAGAATATTATGATGAAAAAAACATAAATCACTCAAGGAAACTGAACTTAAAAAAAGAACTTGATAAACTCACATTTTTGTAGGTCTCCAGTTTTGGTCTCATATACTCAGGTTTTGTCTTCCATTTCTCAGGAATCAAAATGGCAACATTTTTGAAATAGAATCTTTTTCCTGTAGCTTCAAACAGATATGGAGATGCCTGAGTCACCATATCCTGGGGGGGAAAAAGAAAACATATCTAGCAAGCACAATTAGGACTGTAGACTAAATACCAATCATTCAAATTTACATTTGTATTTCACATTAGAAAAACTAGCTAGTAAAGACCAGTTATTTATCAAGACTGGAAGGGGAGCCCTAACTGGTTTGGCTCAATGGATAGAACATTGGCCTGCGCACTGAAGGGCCCCAGGTTCGATTCTGATCAAGGGCATATACCTTGGTTACAGGCACATTCCAAGTAGGAGGTGTACAGGAGGCAGCTGATCAATGTTTCTAACTCTCTCTCCCTCTCCTTTCTTCTCTGTAAAAAAAAAAAAATCAATAAAATATATATATATATATATATATATATATATATATATATATATATATATATATATATATAAAAGACTGGAAGGGGAGATGTAGAAATACCTTTTATTGATAACTAAAGACTAGTGCACAAAGTTCGTGCACTTGGGGGGTTTTCCCTCAGCCTGCACCCTCTCGCAGCCTGGGAGCCCTCAGGCAATGTCTGGGGGAGCGGGCCTAAGCTGGCCGTAGGACATCCTTAGCACTGTCATGGAGGTGGGAGAGGCTCCCACTACCCCCACTGTTCTCACCGGCCATGAGCTTCTGGCTGAGAGCTTCCCCTGTGGGAGCACACTGACCACCAGAGGGCAACGCCTGCATTGAGCGTATGTCTTCTGATGGTTAGTGTGCATCATAGCGACCGGTTGATCCACCATTTAGATTTTCATATTAGCTTTTCATTATCTACTACAGGCCCAGTGCATGAAATTTGTGAGGGGGGTTGTGTCCCTCAGCCCAGCCTGCTCCCTCTCCAATCTGGGACCCCTCGAGGGATGTCTGACTGCCCATTTAGGCCCAATCCCATTGGTAGTCGAACATCCCTATCACAATTCAGGACTGCTGGCTCCCAATCGCTTGCCTGCCTGCCTGCCTGATTGTCCCTAACCACTTCTGCCTGCCAGCCTGGTAGTTGCCTAACTGCTACCCTGCTGGCCCAATTGCCCCTAACTGTCCTCCCTTGCTGGCCTGGTCTTCCCCAACTGTCCTCCCAGTTACCCCCAACTGCAGTTTCTTCTGCAGGCCTGGTCTTCCCCAACTACCCTACCCTGCTGCCCTGGTCTTACCCAACTGTCCTCCCCTGCTGGCCCAATCACTCCTAACTGCCCTCCCTTACAGGCCTGGTCACTCCCAAGTGCCCTCCTCTTCTGGCCTGATCACCCACAACTGCCCTCCCCTGCTGGCCATCTTGTGGTGGCCATTTTGTGTGTTGGAGTGATGGTTAATTTGCATATTACCTCTTTATTATATAGGACTCTAGGGGCCCAATGCACCTTGAAAGAAACTGTGGGCCATGAGGCTGCAGTGGACACAGGGGCAGTTCTCAGCCCATCCTCCACACCCCCACCTAGCTTTTCCTGCCACGGCCCTCAGTCCCCAGTCTGCCAGCAGCCCTGCTCCCGCCACTGTCACTCTCATGTGCTGACAGGTGTCAGCCCCACTTGCACTCACTGATGGCACCGAGCAATCGGGACCAGTTGCAGGCACTGGCAGTGGGTGCAAGCAGTAGCTCTGCATCAGTTGTGGGTGTGAGCAGCGCTGGTGCTAGCAGTGGGTGTGAGCAGTGGCTCTGGTGCTGGCAGCAGGTGCGAGCGGGACTGTCGCCAGCAGAGCATGCAAGAGGCAGCTGCCAGCCCCAACAGCCCCTCAGGAGTAAGAGGAGATGGAGAAGCCCTAAGGGAGCAAAGAATTTTTAGTAACCACCAGAGGCTTGCCCAATGACAAAAACTGGTGCTCCTCCTTGATCTGGTGCCCCTGTTCACCTGCTCTGCCATCTTACTGCTGCTGACACCTGCCATATTCCATGCTCTGCCACCTGCTACCAACACCTGCCATGTCCCGTGTGCGCTCCCCTGGTGGTCAGTGCATGTCATAGTGACCGGTTGTTCAGTTTTTCTGCTCTTCAGTCTATTTGCATATTAGCCTTTTATTATATAGGATATATAAAATCCTAATATGCAAATAGATCAAACATTGGTACAACTAAACAACCAAACAACTGAAAAATCAGTCACTATGATATGCACTCACCACCAGGGGGCATGCACAGAGCATGATGGCATCAGCCTTGGCGGGATGGTAGTGCAGGTGAGCAGAAGTGCCAGACCAAGGTGGGGTGCTGGTCATTGTCATTGGGGCAAGTCTCTAGTGGTTACTGAAAATTCTTTGCTACTGCGTGCTGCAGTCCCACCTGGTGCTCACATCTGCTGTCAGCTCTGGCCCTGCTCACATTCACTGATGGCACTGGAGCTGCCACTTGCACCCACTGATGGTGCTGAGCGATTGGGGCTGGCACCAGGCGCCGGCAATGGGTATGAGTGATGACTGCTATCCATGATCACCCCTCAGGGCTTCTCCATCTTCCCCCTGCTCCTGAGGGGTGATCAGGGCCAACAGCCGCCTCTTGCACCCGCTGCTAGTGCCCATCCTGTTCATTCAGTGCTATTAGTGGGTGCGAGTGGCAACTACTGGCCCTAATCACCCCTGAGAGCTTCTCCACTTCCCCCTGCTCTTAAGAGACGATTGGAGCAGCAGCTGCCACTCACACCCACTGATGGTGATGGCCTCACTCACACCTGCTGCCGGCACTGGCCCCAATCACTCCACACCATCTGTGGGTGTGAGCAGGGCTGGTGCTGTTAGTGCATGGGAGAAGTGGTGGCTGGAGGGGGCTGCCAGCAGACAGAGGACTTGGGGCCATAGAGGGAGGGGCCAGGCGGGGATGCGGAGAGGATGAACAAGACCAGCCCCTGTTCCCACCTCATGGCCCACAGTTCTTTTCAAGGTGCATGAGTTCGCGCACTGGGTCCCTAGTTTAGAATAATAGCTAACCTTTTTGAGTCACTTATCACATGCTCTGTGTCAGAGTGTGATGATTGACAATGCAGACTTCAGAAGCTGACACTAATCCTGGCTCCAACAGGATTATTGTGCGTCATCTGGCAATTTCCTTGAGCCCTCCTCAGTTATCCCATTTATAAAATGGAAAATATTATGGTGATTAGCTCATAAGATATCGTGGGGATCAAATGAAGTCAAGAAAGTCCTGGGAACCATGTTTACTTAGCACAAATGCTTGTGAAATGAGTGTCATCTCATTTGATCCTTTGAGGATCAATAAACCTTTAAGGGAGAAACTGAGAATTAGAGAGTGTAAGTATCAAGGTCCCACACCAACTAATACTGGAGAGAAACTCAAATTAAAATATGACTTCACCTTCTGGCTCTTGCAGTTACTTTAGTACTAGCTAAATGTTGTGGTAGTATTTATTTTTAGTATAATATTAAGTGTCAGATATAAGGGAGTGGCACAATTATATAACTTACTTTCAAGTTACACACAATTTTATTTCTCTAAAATGAAGGAGCCGTAGTGTTAAATTATAAATGCCCCTGAGATGCATTATGAAGACAGTAGAGAGGGTATTATAGGAGATTTACTATTGAAAAAGGCATGGAGTCTATTAGGACTGAAAATCACTGCCCTCAAAAGTGAGTGTGGGTGGAGGAAAAAGGAGGGCTGAAGACTGAGCCCTGGGAGCCACAGGCATTTAACATTTAGTGATAGGAAGAGGAGTCAGCCAAGGAGACTCAGGAGCAGCTGGTGCATGGGAAGGAAATCAGCAAGCATGGGGCAAAGGTGTTTCAGGGAGAAGAGAGTGATTAGCGGTGTCAAATGATGCTGAGCAATTAAGAAAGGAAAAACAAACAAAAACTGATAGACACAGACAACAGTATGGTAGTTACAAGAGAAAGGGGGTGAGGGGACTGCATATATGGTGACAGAAGAAGATTTAACTTAGGATAGTGAACACACAATACAATATTCAGATCATACACCATAAAAATGTACACTTGAAACATATGTAATCTTCTTAACCAATGTCACCCCAATACATTTAATAATAATAAAAAAGAAAGGCGAGGATAAGAACTGACCAAAGTATTTGGCAACTTGGATGAGTCATTTTAGTGGGATGGAGACGACAGCTCCATATGAGTAAATTCAAGAGAATGGGAGGTGAAATGGAGGCAGTGGATATCGACAACAGCTCAGGCAGGTTTTTTTTTTTTTTTTGTAAATTAAAGGGGAATGGAGACACAATGCAGTAGCTGAAGGAGCACTTCAGGCAAGGGAATATTTTTTTAAATGTGAACTATTATGATGTATGTATGTGATAATTGGGGGAAAACAAACAAAAAACCCTGTTAAACCAGAGAAAAAAGGGACCATTGCAGGAGGAAAGTCCTTCCCTGAGCAGACCAAAGTGCCTAGACTCCAACATTATAATGTAGAGTTTGGGTTAGTGTGTGTGTGTGTGTGTGTGTGTGTGTGTGTGTGTGTGTGTGTGTACAAGCAGTTTCACTTACACATGAGGTGGGCATGAGGCACAGAACCAGTTTCCCTTCACAGAGGAAGCAGCACATGATTATTAATGCCGGGTGAATCCCTCTCTACCACTTCCTAAGGGGATAAATTTGGGGAATTTATATTATTTTTCTGAGTTTCAGTTTCCCTCTTTTCAGATAGTAATAATGGTTGTTTTGTTCATTCTAAAAAAGCTTCTTATGATGCTTTACATTTCATTATTCCAAAAAGCAAGATTTTTATCAACCACTGGAAGATTTAACAATGTATCATTTTTAAAATAAAAACACAGAGTCGAAATCACCAAAAAGTTAAAAAAAAAAAAAGTAGGAATAAAGTTCTCTGTGTAAGAGTATATATTAGAATCTGACCAATGAAATGTGAATTTTCAGTGTCTCCTAGAAAGAAGCAGCAGCAGCACAAAATGCTCTTGTCTTCCATGTTTTAACAGAAACATCAATAATGGTTTTTTGCTTTGGCCTCTGTTGCTGATTTTGAGAAAGCAACCTCATATCTAAGTAGACATTTAAACTCTTGAGGCCTGGAGAGGTCAAGGATGACAGCTTACAGGGTTGGCTGGAAATTCCTTAGTGATAAGGATATTGTTCTCCACTGGATTTCTGGTACCTGAAATAATGGTAAAGAAATGGTCCTTTCTTCCTCTGGTACCAACTTTGTAAATACTTGTTGAATGAATTAATGAATGAATAAAATGGTTGAGATGAATGGCAAATTGTCCAGGAATGCCAAGACAAGAGGTTCCTGCATTTGCATACATTGAGGATACATCCAAGATATACTGCGGGGGGAGAGAGAGAGAGAGAGAGAGAGAGAGAGAGAGAGAGAGAGAGAGAGAGAGAGAGAGAGAGAGACACAGAGAGAGAGAGAGACACAGAGAGAGAGAGAGAGAGAGTGTTTTTTAGAGACAGAGAGTATTTCTTCCTGACTCTCACTTCCTCATTTTATGGTGTGTGCTCTCTCTGCCTCTACAGCTCACCCTGACAGGGCAATTGCAGTGGGTGCAATTTGTAGGTGGAGAAACCTTAGGGACTGTCATTCAATTTTTTTAAATTAATTTTTTTTGGCTGCATTAGTCAACAAAGCTATGTAGTTTTCAAGTGTACATTTCTGCTCTCATCCCCCCTTACCTCTGGTAATCACCATACTGTTCTCTGTGTTTTTTGCTTAATTTCTTCACTTAGTTCACACAGCCCCCCCAACCCCCCTCTCTTCTGACAGCTGTCAGTCTGTTCTCTGAATCTATGAATCTATTTTATTCATTAGAGTCCACATGTGAGTGAAATTACATGGTATTTGTCTTCCTCTGACTGGCTTATTTCACTTAGATTAATGTCCTGAACAGAAGCAAGTATTTAAGAGCTGACTTAAAGGCTTCTGTTCCCACAAGAGCACCAGGAGAGAGTCTCCCCTTAGAAAACAGAGTGAGGGGTGGCCAGGAAAGGCAGACAAGCTACAATTAAGGTCCTTAACTCTGCAGATTTGAACCTTAGTAGTGAGGAACTCACTTTTATTAACTACTTAGTTAGGGGTTCTGGGTACACTATTGCCCTTAACTTTATAATTTTATTTTTCAATTTTAGTGTACATTCAATGTTGTTTTGTACATTCAATGTTGTTTTGTACATTCAAGGTGTTAGACAATCATATACTTTATAATATGTGGAAACCAACTTACCTCAAAGCCAACTCATTTAGTAGGACTCATACCAGAAAGCCAATTTAATAATTGTGTTAAGAAGTAGATTTCTCAGGAGGAAAACCCCCAAGAGTGAGGTGAAAGCACCTAGAAGCTCCAAAGCACCATGTGAATGTGAATTAGCATCGCCATTCTGGATAAGGAATTTATGTTCTTCTGGCACATTCCCAACTGTCTAGCCAGAGACAGAAACATGTTGGCTACATTTTTCTCCCATACTTTCAGTGTCTGTTGCTCCAAGGGGCACTTTCATGTTTGCTGATGCCATTTCTAAGGTTAGATGCAATCAAAAGCTTACCCAAGCTCTCCGATTATTGAGAGATTTCAAAAGGTAAAGCTTTCCCTTTCACCATGGCAGTAATATCAGATAGGTTAAACAGGTAAGATCCCCCTCCTTCCTCAACCACTGCCGTTCTCCAGCCCCAAACTCCTCCAGATGGTAGAACTGGTTCTCCCTCCAAACTCCATCTTTCTGGGTTTGTTTCTGCTCAGAGCAAGGAACATTTGGGGACAACCAATGGGACGCTTGTGATATTAATTTTTGGGCTCACACTCAGGAACTTGGGCTTGGTTAAAAAATTGAACCCTTTCCATCTAGAAGGATTATGGTTATGCCTACCATTAATTGAGCTCTTACTATGTGCCAGACATTATGCATGCATTTTTAAAGTTCTCTAAAGATGATTTTAGACTTATAAGACATGCAAAAATTGTACAAAGTTCCCATATACCCTTTATCAAGCTTCCCTTGTGTGCATGCCTTGTTAAATTTAATCCTCACAAAATCCTATGCGGCGGTACTTATTGCCCACTTTACACACCGGTACTTTTCCTCATTACTCACTACTGCCTCTGGATGTGCTACTGCCAGATCTCTGGGTGGTTATTTATAAGGCATTTCCCTCTTTTTCTTAGTTGTTTGCTGTTGTACATGACCTCTCCACCTTACAACAGTTAGATACCTCTGCCCTGGACAGGAAGTGTCTTCCTCCTAATTCTTCCTTCCCCCACAGAAGAAGTAATAAGTAAGGCAAGGCTGCTCAGCAATGTAAGAAGACCCCTTGCATTGGGGCTGGTAAAATGCAGAGTTTCCTCCCACTGGAAGGATCAGGGTTGTTCTTAAGTTAGAGATGTGCATCCTGGGCTTCTCTATTAGGATCACAGAGAAAATATTCATAATTAGAAGAATAAAAGGAGACTCTAATATGAGCCAGGCAAAGGAATTATTCTCTGTACATCTCACAATATCTACCAGATACAGCTGGCTCTGCCTTAGTGGAATCATCTACAATCAATAAACTTAGACAGTCATTTATAAAGTACTAACAATGTATGAAACTCTTAGTGAAGTGCATTACTTTTATTATCTTCTCCCTCAGAAGACTCCTAATGGCTAACTATTCTATTTTCATTTTGCAACTGAAGATACTGAGACATAGACATAAAAATAATTTGCCAGTATCACACAGATGGAGTTAGAGAACTCATGTTTGCCCTTCCACACATTATACTTAATTTTTTTAAAGCATGGGTAGTTACCGTTTCCAGCTTACCTTTATTTCTCGAATGAGTGTTTCATCTTCTGGCACATTGGGGTCAATTGCAATGACAATACCTTCATAGCCATTATTATTCAGCTGAATGAGTGAATTGCTCAGGGCCCCTTCCAGAAGGTGAAGGACCAAGATGAAAACAGAACTCTTAGGCGACCCCATTACTATACATCTCCCTTTCATTATTCTCTTGGGAAAATTTTGGTTTTCGAGGCATCTTTCTTTACCCCTATTTATATGACTATCGAGACATACATTTTTCCAAGTTATCAGAGGTGGTTTATCACAGGACTTTAACCTCTTGACCCAAAATTGTTTCACCTGTGCATTTGTCTCCATTATGAGGAACAATACCTTAGTCTTAAATTTTGTGTACTTTAAATATTTTATTTGAAAGGATCATTAGCCTTGCCTTCACCTTTGCCAGATGCTGGGAAAGAGGGTGGGAAGCCCACATCCGGTTTTCTAGAAGGACTCACAGGTGTCAAGCGGCTTAGGCATTGAAAGATGTTTACTTCTTATAAATGATTGCCCAACCCTGGATACTGGCCCACACAAGGTCACCCTCCAACCCTGCCCTGCCTAGGGGAGGCCTGGCTATTATATGCACTCAATAACTATTCATTAAGTGTAAGTCATATATCCAATTATTTCTCAAGGTGGTCATTATTTTTATCCTCATTGATCTTGACATAACCTTAGCACGTCTTGGTGCCTCCTTAGATAATCCACTTGTATCAAAAGCATTAGCAAACAACATAGATATTATTGAATATTTCCTATTTGTGAGAATAGATGAAAATTTGTATATCACTGTGCAAAGCAAACTCCTTCAAGTTTCCTCATCAGACCTCTATTGCTCAATAAAATTCATATTCATGATATTGCATTATTTTACTGCAATTCAAATTAACACCATTATTTTACTGAAACTAAATGTCTCTCAAACATGAACTGTGGGCTGCTAGCTACTACCTACATGCACTTTTTGCCTTAGTGGAATCATCCACAATCAATAAATGTAGACAATCTTCAGATGAAAATTCAAATTGGTTCACCACTTTTCTGTAGTATTCAAATTACTTGAAATAGCCCTCATCCCATCAGTTTATTTGGTCTCACATAATTCAAAGCATCAGTTTCAACTTGTCTGTTCCTTTTTGTTGACATTAGCTCATAAAACTTAAATTATTACTTATCACTAATAATTAATACCTATTGCTTACGTATGTAATATTTAAGCAATCAAAAGTGAAGCATTTAATAGAGTGGATGTACTCAATTTTAAAGTGGTTGTCAGATAATCCTAAAATGCTTTTATATAAAAACAATTTATTCAATGCTTATTTAATAAATGTATGCATTTATTATGCATACTAAAGGCCTGGTGCACAAAATTTGTGCATGGGGGGGTGTCCCCTCAGTCCAGCCTAGTCACCTCCAACTGTCCCCCCTTGCTGGCCTGGTCACCCCCAACTACCCTCCCTGCCAGCCTGATTGCCCTCAACTGCCCCTTCCACCAGTCTGGTCGCCCCTTACTGCCCCCCCCCCCCGGTGGCCTGTTTGCCCACACAACCTGCTGTTCGGTCATCCATCTGGTTGTTTCAGACAGGATGGCCCCTGGCTTTTTATGTGTTAAGATTATATAAATTTTTTAGATTTCAAAATATCTCAAATCCCCAACCACAGGTATCTTTCCTGGGTTCTCTAAAAAATATAAGGCAAGCTTATGTGTTAATGATTTGAGAGTTTGATCCCAGAACAGTGAGAATTAGGGAAAGGGGAAATGAGTCAGGGAAGGCTGAGAAGCAATGGAAGATGAAGTATTACTAAGTTGACTATTGGGGTACAATGCGGTCAAGCTGCTGGTGCACCTGCCCTACCATCTGGGATGTCTCCTAACAGGCTATACAAAGAAACCATGCCTTGGGGAAGTCCATTGAAGGGAGGAAGGGAAAGTGTTTGGCTCCTTCTCATATCCTACAGGTGATCAATTCCCCTGAACTTCCTGGATGTGTCATCCAGTCCTTCAAATAGCTACTGTACAGAGAAATCCCATGCCCTGTGGTGTATGAGGAGTCAAGGATTCCAACTGGTGCCTGGTTGATCTCTGGCAGTGGAACCACTCAGAACTGCAAGGAGATGTAGTGACAGAGGTGGAGTAAGTGTCCAAGGATTCAGTAGAATAGAGGAAGCCAAGCCTAGGGAGGTTCCAGGAGATGAGTCCAACACAACTCATTGCTTGAACTGCTCAGATCCACTCATACCCTTCCTTCATGTCTAGCTCCAATATTGTAATGTAGAGTTTGGGTTAGTGTGTATGTGTGTGTGTGTGTGTGTGTGTGTGTGTGTGTGTGTGTGTGTGTACAAGCAGTTTCACTTATACCCTGAGAGAAAGTACAGGTCCAATCATTCATAGAATCTCCTTCCAGGTGGTGACCAACTGCAACATCCTGAGAAACCCAGAGCAAGAGTTATTGAAATAAATTGTAGTGCCTAATGCTACAGCATGAATCAAGGCCATCATAGATACTTATTACCTCCTTCCTTCGTCTTCATCACCAATCTCCCTCTTTTAGTCAGCATTTTGGCTGATCTGTATTGTTTGTAATGCCTGTTGCTGTAACTCAACCCTTCATTTCTGAGGGCTCTGAACTCATGTTGGGCTGTAGCTGCTGCAATGCCTGTGGCAGGGGTCACCTGGTGTGACGGACCCGTTTAGGTGCCTCCTCAACTTTGCTGGCTAGGCCTTTGCCTCTTGCTCAATGGAATGTCCTTGCTGCCGCCATAGTTGCTTCGTCTTGTAACACCAGGGATTTGTCTCTGTTTCCCCGGGGAGGGGGCCAAATTTGGCATGGCCTCCACTGGGCAGGCTGTGGTGGTAGTGCCACAATCTCTGGTGCCCAAGTCCAACTTAAACAGATTCTCAGAGGTTTTCACTCACATAAAGCATTGCACCATGGCACCTGGAATCTAGCTTTCTTGGAGGCCAGGTGACAGGGAGGAAACTTGAAGGAAAGACAGGTAACACCCTGAGAGACAAACTTTCACCAAAGATATGCCAGATCTCTCTTAGGTTTTCTTCTAGTGAAAACCCCCAAATGGTAATCACTCTTCTGACTTCCATTGCCACATAGACTAATTTTACTTGGGTTTATATTTAATATAAACAGAAATATACAGTATGTCTTCTTGTGTCTGACTACTTTCACACAACATTTTCTGCATAAAGTTTAGCCATGTGATTTTAGGTAGCAGTAAAATGTTATTTTTCATTATACCTCATTGTAAAAATATACCACAATTTACTTACCAATTCCTGTTCGTGAACATGTGTATTTCCTGTTTGGGCTATTATAAATAAAACTGCCATAGGTGCAAGCATTGATTTTTGTTGGGTATGTACTAAGAGTGGAATTGCTGAGTTACAGGTTGTATCTATGCCTAACTTTAGTTGATCTGCCAAACTCTTTTCAAAGTGATTGTACCAATTGTTCCACATTTCTACCAGTACATACTACTGCCAGTCTTTATTATTTTAGCTATTCTGGTACAAGTGCAATCATATTTTACTGCGGTTTTAATTTACATTTTCTTTTATAACCAACTAGAGACCTGATACATGAAATTTGTGCAAGGGGCTCAGCCCCCACCCACTGCAGTAGCTGTTGGCCTCTGCATTGGGTCCTGCCATGGTGGCTTCATCCAGAGGGTTGTCCTGAAGGACATCCGGTCTAATTAGAATATTATGATTTTATTATTATAGGTGTAACATACCTTTCTATATACTTATTTTCATTTTGATAGTCATTGTGAAGTGATTATTTAAGTATTTTTGCCCAACTTTTAATCAGGTTGTCTTTATCTTATTGATTTATAGAAGTTCTTTATACATTCTTAGTATTGAATCCATTATTGGATATATATATTGCAAATATCTTTTTCAAGTTTGTGGCTTGCCTTAATGGTACCTTTGAATGAGCAGAGATTCTGGAGTCCAATTTAATTTTTTCTTTTATGGGTAATGTTTTATGTGGTCATATTTAAGATAGTTTTCTCAAGTTCATAAAGATATATATATATATATATATATATATATGTATATATATATATATATTAAAATATATTTTATTGATTTTTAACAGAGAGGAAGGGAGAAGGATAGAGAGCTAGAAATTTTATATCCATCAGTTGCCTCCTGCACATCCGTTACTGGGGATGTGCCCGCATCCAAGGTACATGTCCTTGACTGGATCCCTTCAGTTCACAGGCTGACACTGTATTCACTGAGCCAAACCAATTAGGGCCATAAAGATATTATACAATATTCTGTACTAGATGCTTTATTGTTTTACCTTTCACTTTCAGGTCTGTGATCTACCTCAAATTATTTTTGCGTGTATTATATAAATTCAGGATTTTTGTCTTATTTTGTTTTTCTTTATGGACAGCAATAGGCCCAGATCATTTACTGAAAGGACAACCCTTTCCTCCACTGAATTGTAGTTGTGTTTTTGTTGTGAACGATGTGACCACAGATGTTCAAGTCTTTCTTGACTCCCTATTCTGTTCTGAGAGGTGTGTTAAAATCTCCAATTAAGATTGTGAATTTGTTCATTTCTTTTTTTTGTTTTGTTTTTTGTTTGTTTGTTTGTTTTAGTTCCATCAGCTTCTGCTTTATATATTTTAAAGCTTTGTTTTTAGTGCATGCAAATTTTGGATTGCATTATAAAATGTCTTTTTATTTCTAATAATATCACTTTTATCAAAATCTAGTTTTTAGGATATTAGTTACAGCATACTGGTATTTTGTAGGTTGAAAATTTAAACAAAACAAATGCAACTCAGCCAATACAATGCCTGACACACAGAATTCATTCAGTAAACAAAACATATTTACACTTCCCCTTCTCTCCCAATTACTCAAGTCTTAGCCTTGAAGGGAGAGATAGGAGAGAATCCATCAAGATAGAGAAAGCTGGGACTTTACATTGGCTGGTAACATGAAAGGATGACCAAGGTATATTTTAAGGACATTGATGTTCAACCCCAAGTTCATTACTTGTTTCAGGCCATGAGGAAACAGGTATTCATAATTAACGCTGGAAGAAAAATTGGTATAGATGTTTTAGAGGGAAATTCTTATCAATATTTAAGGATGA